CGACGTACGTCCGACGTCCGTAACGTACGTACGTCGTACGGTACGTCGTCGTACGTCGTACGTCGTCGTCGTCGTCGTGTGTGTGTGTGTGTGTGTGTGTGTGTGTCGTGTGTGTGTGTGTGTGTGTGTGTGTGTGTGTGTGTGTGTGTGTGTGTGTGTGTGTGTGTGTGTGTGTGTGTGTGTGTGTGTGTGTGTGTGTGTGTGTGTGTGTGTGTGTGTGTGTGTGTGTCGCTGCCGTCGTGGTCGTGGTCGTTGTCCTTGTCGTCGTTGCCGATTTCTCTCTCTATCTCCTTGATCGCCGCGAAACCAGGCTCAGTGCGAGGACCCACCACCTGATCCCTCGCTCGGCTCGGCGACGTGCCGCAGAGACGGCCGAAGCCCCTCACGTGCGTCAGGCGCCGGTGGTAGGGGCGTCGTGGTGGCTCGACAGGAAGAGGGAGCTCGAGGGATCGTCGTGGCTGCCGCTCATGGCGGGGCTCAGTGGGCCGCCGACGTCCGACCACTCGTCGGACGTGTGCTCGGCGCTGCAGCTGCCGTGCTCGTGCTCGTGCTCGCGCTCGTGCGACGTATCGGCCGCCGCCTGCACCGCATCGGTGACCGGGCCCGCTGCCCGGGCAGCCGTGCCGTCGTGCGGCTGCTCGTCGTCGTTGACGTCTGCACGAGGCGGCATGGCGCCCTGCTGAAGTAGGGGCGTCGAGTCGGCATCCTGGCCTTGACCGCGCTGCGTCTCGGTGGGCAGCCTCGTGTCGCGCTTGATCCGGCCGCGCGCATAGTCGAGGTCGCGGTAGATGGCCTTGATGGCCTCGCCCACGCCGTCCTCTGCCCTGATCTGGGCGCCGAGCGCCCGGGCCCCCTCAATCTGCTTGGCGTTGGTCGTCGCCGTCCGGAGCGCCGCTGCGAGGGCGTCGGCAGTGAGGTTCTTGACGCAGCTCCCCACGCCGAGGCTCTCGACCTGCTGGCCCCAAAAGAACTGGTCGCCAAAGTACGGCTTGACAATCGTGGGCAGACCGGCGCGCAGGCTGGCGCCCAACGTGCCGGCGCCGCCGTGATGGCAGGCGGCATCGATGAGCGGGAAGAGCCAGTCGTGCGGCACCGACGACACCTGAAAGACGTCGTCGAGGACGGCAGGGTCGGAGACCGTCGAGCCCGGGTTGGAGCCCGACGAGAGGCGGTCGGACCAGCCCTTGGAGATGATGGCGCAGACGCCGCTCTTCTTGACCGCCTCGAGCACGCAGCGGGTCATGGCCTCGGCGTCCGACACGACAATCGAGCCCCAACCAATGTAGACCAGCTTGCGGCCGTTGACGCGCGCCCGGTCGATGAACGCCACCAGGTCTGCCGGCGGCTGCCACTTGCGGCTCGATGAATTGTCTGGGCCGTCGAGGAACCAGAAACCTGTCACGTGGATCCACTCGAACCAGTCCAGCGGGCGCGGCACCAGGCTCGGACTAAAGTTGTAGATGAACGGCACCTTGTGCTGCTCGAGCTTGTCGATGTTGGTCGAGCGCAGGCCCAGGTGTTTCTTGCGCCAGCGATTAATCTGGCCGGCTGCCGCGCGCCAAAAGATCTGGTCAAAGATGACGTACGACATGTAGTTGTAGTTGCCGCCGGCCTTGTTGCCTGGCACGGCAAAGGCGTGCGGGTAGGCGCGCGTGCGGGTCCATGGCATGGTGAAGGCGCGGTAATAGGGCACCTGGAGGGCCTCGGCGACATGGATGCCGGCGATGGCCGAGGGGCTCTCGATGATGACGTCGCTGCCCTGGCAGGCATGCCAGCTGGACAGCAGCAGGTCATCGAGCCAGCCACGGAACTGCGAGCAGGGGCGTAAAGGAACATGATCGAGCGTCAAAGACAGTGCAGAGGGTCAGCCGGCCGTGGCTTCCTTCCTGGCTTCGTTCTTAACTCGCCGAACGCTGCCGCACTCCGTTCACTCACCTTGGTGACGCCCTCCCTCAGAAACGACACCGTAAACGTGCCGTTCTCGACGCAGATGCGCATCAGCTCGGCAGGATCTCCGCCGATGCCACTAAACTCGATCCCGTGGCCCTTGACCCAGTCGCCAAACTCGGGGTGCGTGGCGATGCGCACGCGGTGGCCATCGGCCTGCAGGCCCTTGCCGAGGGCAATGTAGGGCTGCACGTCGCCTCGCGAGCCGATCGTCAGCATGGTAAAGACCAGCGGCTTGGCCGGCTTGAACGAGAGCAGCGCCGACGAGTCGGACCGCATTATCGAGGCCGACGACTGGCCCAGCATCGAGAGGTGCGACGACAGGGTCGAGGTGCTGGCCGAGGCAGAGTCGAAGCTTTGGTCGAGCTGTTCGCTGAGGTCCCGTAGCACGAGCGCGTTCGACCTCTCCGAGCCTGCCGCCGCGTCGCCTCCGACGGCGGCGAGATCGTCGTCGTCCGGGTCGTCTGCTCTGATGTGGTCGAGCTGGAGGTCGATCAGGGAGAGCATCTCGTCCCTGCGCTCTGCCGAGGCCAGTTCGAGGAAGACCTCTTCGTGCCCTCGAACGGTGACCACGACGCCGTGCTGCCCGAAGCGGAACGCCGGTTGCCGCGCGGCCGAGACGACGTCCGAGAGCGGGATCAGCATCAGCGTACGCCCCACGGTCTTCTGCGCTATGCCCGAAGAGCGGAACGCGAGGTGGCGTGTCGAGACGAACGCCCTACCCGTGATGGGCAGGACCCGGAAGAGCGTGGCGTGGACGTGGCCGACCAGGCGCTCATCCTCCGGCAGCCCAAACGTCTCGCGGAACTGCTCTTCGAAGCGGCCCGCCTCGGTCGGGGCGTCTCGATCCTCGTCGGGGGCGTCGAGGACCGAGAAGGACGAGTAGCCCGAGTTGGACAAGTCCTCGCCCGCCGCAGAGCGTGCGTCCTGGTCGTCGTCGTCGCCGAGGTGGGTGTCCTTGGGCCAAAGCTCGACGATGCGGCGATGGTGACGGCGCGAGGTGCCTCCCATCCAGCCGGCGAGGGCATCGGCAGCCGAGCCGCCGCCGAGCATCCGATTCGGCGTGTCCTTGATCCACTTTGGAAGGGCCCAGCCTCGTTCCGCCTCTTTCTGGACCTGTTCAAACGAGGGCGGGGGCTCGCTCCCGGTGGGCGATGGCGGATAGACGAAGGAGCTGTCTCCGAGGGCTCCTTCCATCGTCCTTGCCGTGGGCGTGCAGGACAGGTGGTCGGCGTCTGCATCCATTGTGGCCGCTGGCCGGCCCTTGGCAGCGTCGAGCCGCGGAATAGCAATCGGACGCTGCCCAGCCTCGCCTTCTGCCTTCAGAGCTGATCCTTTTGAGGCGTCTGCCCCCGCACGGGCTGCCGACATCGTCTTTGCCGAGGCCGACGAGCCCTGTCTCCTCAGCGTGGTGGAGATCGGGAGCGCGGGCACCTCGTCGAGCGGAGCATTTGGTAGCGTGACGGTGTTGGCCATCCCGCCTGTCGAGTCTTGGATGCTTGCCCGCGACCAGCGGAGCGGATCCGATCCGGAGCGGCTGTTTCCGAAGGCGATGCGCTTCGTGGTCCGCAGAAACTCGTCGCGCCTCGACAGGTGCAGGAAAAAGTATTCGTCGATGGCGAAGCCGGCGAGCTCGTCGACCACCTTGATGCACACCATCTCGGTCTGGTCGACGGACAGGGTCGTGTCGACGTCAATGACCGTCTCGAGTGGGATGCTGATCTTGACGCTCTCGCCCTCGTTGTGCGCCTTGAAGACCTCCTTCCTCAGCGCCGTGATCCAGGCATTGCGGCTGGCCTCGGACTCGACCTGGAACGTGAAGCGGCGATACGGCGTCGTCACCTTGAAGCGATCCAGGTGCTTGGAGGATGCCTCGACGGCAGAGACACGCCGCAGGTCGATGAAGCCCTGCGGAAAGTAGGGGTCGCGGGCGCTGTCGAACCAGCTGAGCAGCCCGCTCCGGAGCGTGGCCCAGTGCTTGCTGAATCGGTGCGTCCGCCGCGTCAGCTTGGCGATCGGTCCGGAGCGCAGCAGGCGGTTCTCGCGCGAGGGAAGGTAGGCGTAGAAGCAGAGGTGGCCCGTCGTGAGGTAGACGTGGCCTTGGAGCAGGATAGAACGGAAGAGCCAGCACCGGTGCGCCGACAACAGCTCCTCGGTTGGCTCGAGATCGAACAGGCGGTGAAGCTGGACAAGCAGCTGCTCTACATCGTCGCGGCGAGGCAAGGCATCGTCGGCAGCGCCAGAACCTTCGGGCGGCAAGACCTCGAAGGGTGGTTGCAGTCGCGAGGTGGAAGCCTCGCTGGGCATCGGCGCTGATTTTGCTTCCGTGGTGTCATCCTGCGTCTCTAGCGACTGTCTCGGTCCATCATCAAGATGCGATGGACCAGGAGCCGTGTCGACCGCGGATCGAGGCTCGTCCGTGCCGCTGTCCTCGGAATCGCCTTCTTCGCCCGTGTCGGCAGAGGCCTCGGCGAACGGATGCCGGCTGCTCTGCCTGCCGGCCAGGTCGTCCTGGCGCTTGGCGCGTGCCTGGGAGCGCCGCTGCGCTGTTTCGCTGTGGCTTCCAAAGGGGGATGTCGGTGGCTTTTTGGCGCGGTGTACCGAGATGGCCGAGGCCGCCAAGGGAGTCTGCCCGCCCAGCGGCGTCGCTTGATCGTCGAACGCCTCGTGCCTGCCGGGATACAAGCCCCGATCGGTCCTCAGGCGGCGGCTGCGGGAACTCAGCCAGGCTGTCGGGTCCAAGGCTGCGGCAGACTCGGTTTCCAGCTCGCCCGTGAGCGAGCGCCGCCGCGGAGGCTGGCCGAGGATGTCGTCGTCTGCCTCGTCGAGGTCGTCGTCCTCCATGATGCCCTGTCCCTCTGCGTCGAAAAAGCGGCTGCCGACCATGCTGAGCATCTGCATGAGGGCCTGGGTTTCCGAGTGGACGACATGCGGCTCTGCGTCGCGCGCCGTATCTGGGCAGTCGTCGAGGCTGGATCTCCGTGCTGCATCATGGGCGCTGTCCGATTGCGGGCCGGCAAGGGGCTGCGCGGGGGGAAGGCGGACATGGGTCGGAAGGGGTGGGCCATTTCGAGGGAGCTTGCGAGGGAGGAAATGTTGGAGAAGCCCCGGGGAGATACGGGTTTGAGGGCGGGCGAGTCCGGCAAGGGTGGGCTGAGCCTGTCGTAGTCGAGCGCGGCTGGTGGCGGGAACGGTGGGCTCGAGGGCGCGGGAGAGGCTTGGCCCTGCGCGGGTGGTGCGGGTGGCGGTGAGGAGGATGACATGATGCGGTCGCCTCGAGGGCGTGGGCTGGTCTGATCAAGCTGGTGCTGCGTCGGTGTCAGTGGGGAGCGGCAGGCAGCTCGACGTGGAGATGGTGGTGATTGCGGTGGTGGCGGTGGTGATGCGGCCGCTGGCGATCAGACGAGAGCATTGGCGGTGCGGGCGTGTGTGTGGGCTGGGTGGTCCGGGAGAGGGGCGCGGGTTCAGAGGGGCATGACGAGGGGCGCAGGTTGCTGTATGGCGGCGTCGGCCCAGGGGTTTGGTCAGTTGAAGACGGCAGTCAGCGGTGGCGACGGCAGTGGTGCTGGTGGCGGTGGGTGGCGGTGGTAGTAGTGATGGTGACGACTGTGGCCGGTTCGAGGGTGGGCCAGAGAGGCAAGCTGCCTGACCACGTACGGCTTGGCTCCGAGGCGGGGGGGAGGAGGGGCAAGTCTGCGGCCACCAAAGCGCGGGGAAATGCCGCGAGCGTTGCGTCCCGTGGCCAGTCACAGTACGTCGAGCCACAGGCAAGCCGCCAGCCCAGTCCAGCCCAGCCCAGCCCAGCCCAGCCCAGCCCAGCCCAGCCCAGCCCAGCCCAGCCTGAGGAGGCCCTTGCGCGCAGCAGGCCAGCAGCCAGGCGGGCAAACGCACCTCAGGGTCCAACCGCCAGCGGCCAGCGGCCATCCATCTGGCTGCTTGCCTGACGGGCACCTCACCGCCCGATGGCCTCCTCTGCCCTACTCTCTGCTCCCCTATCGACGCCCCTCTCGACTATTGACAAAATGACTGCCATCCTCCTGTTGATGCTAGGTAGCCTTTTTCATCTCCCTCCCGTTCATGCTCAAGCACACCATCCTTGACCCCCAGCACGCCGGCCAGAGCCCGTCAGGCATCCTCGGCGCCCGGCCAGGCCATTCCAGAGCCCTCTGTGGCGCGTCGTTGGGCTGGCCTGCCTGCGCTGCTCGTCGACTTCCGACTTCCGCGCCCAGGTGCCCAATTTTGGTCGATTTTCTGGTGCTCGCTGCGCTGGCCCCACCTTCTTCTCGACCCTATCCTCGACCCTATTCTCGACCCTATTCTCGACCCTATTCTCGACCCTATTCTCGACCCTATCCTCGCCCCTCGCCCCTCGCTTCTCGCTCCTAACCCTTCGAGCGCTCGCCACCACCGCCGTCCGTCATCAGCGCACATCTTCTCCCTCACCTCAATCTCCAGGCCACGGCCCTCATCCGCTCCGCTCCCTTGCCCGACCCACCGCAGCCATGTCCGGTAGAGGTGGAGGAGGTGGAAGGGGTCGCGGCGGCTTCGGTCGCGGCGGCGGCAGAGGCGGCGGGCCCGGCGCAAACCTTCCCCCCATGGGCCTCAGCTTTCAGGAGCTCGGAATGATGGACAAGACCCCGTCCAAACTCTACCCTGTGCGTGGCGCTGGCTCTCCGGCCATCTGCGCAAGCCTCGGCCCTGATTCCGGCCGCTGCTCGCCTGCTCACCATCTACGCCCCACGGCCCTCTCCCTCTCCTTCTCCCCACTCGCGCCGCAGAACCTCACATCCATGCCCAAGATGGACAAGCCAGACGAAAAGGAGCTCAAGGCCGCCACCTACCAGCTCAGGTACCTCGAGGAACAGCGCTACTCGCCCTACTGGCCCGTTCTGGAGGAGCGCAAGCAGGGTGAGAAGTCTTGGCCCGGCGCTTCTCGCACATTGGGCCCGTGCTAGACTTGCGCTGACACCCTGCTTCTGCCCCACACATCCTCTGTATCGCCGCCCGTCTAGCCGACCTGACGAGGTTCACCGACCGGTACCGGCCCGAAGCTCGCGAGGCGCCCTCGCTCAAGACCATCAAGATGCAGGAGGAGGTTTTTCCAAAGGGCCTCTGGAGCTCGTTTATGGAGGGCGAGACGAAGCGGGAGGAGCTCAAAGGTGCGTGCAGAGGCACGCGCGCCCGCAAGCAACGACGTCCTGCTCGCGGTCGGCGACTTGAGCCCGAGACTGACGTGTTTCCATTGCATCCCCGCCGTCCGATCAGCGAGCAAGAAGAGGAAGCGCAAGGTCAATTGGGACAATCTCGACCTCGAAGACGGGCAAGGGGTGAGCCTTGTAATCCGCACCTCCTCTTTCATGGCGATGGCTGCGCAGCTTTGGCTGACCGTAGTGGCTGCTTGCTCCCTTTTCCCTCTTTGCCGCGTCTCTGATGCAGGGCGACGCCGACGACCGGGGCGAAGGCTCTTCGGAACCAGAGGACCTGGGCGACTACGAGGACGAGGAGGACGACGACTATGCCGAAAACTACTTTGACAATGGCGAGGACGACGACGGCGGAGACGACGACGGCGGCGAGGCCCAGTTTGACTGAGTAGCCTGCGCGCCTCGACGACGACGACGACAACAACGATGACGACAGCCTGTATTTGTACCCTGCCTTCCTGGCTCACGACCCCTTCATCGCCGTCAAGCAAAGATCGTGCCTGCCCGCTCGTGCGATGCTGCCGCGCGGATGAGCCGCGCAGCGTCAGTTGTGTGTGTGTGTGTCTGTGGGTGCAAGCAAGTGAGCGGTGGCACAATGAAGTGCCTGGCGGCGATTGCACGACAAAGTGGCCTGGCCGGGCCCATGCTGTGCTGTGCCGTGCCATGTCGTACGATGCGATGCGATGCCACGCCGCCTTATCTCGGTCCTCGGCGGGTCAGGTGGAGGGTAGAGGTGGCGCGGCGTGACACGGAAGAAGAAGATGCCCGGCCCGGCCCGTGCTCCCCACCACTTGTTCGTCTTCCTCTTCCTCTTCGTCTTCTCCCATCACCACCATCACGGCCACCACCGCCATCACGACCCTCACTGCCACCCAGCTCACCATCGCACACCCCTCCACATCTCAGCCTGCCTCGTCCGTCGCAGCCATGTCGCCTCCCCTGACGTGAGTACGCCCGCCATTCTGCCTCGTAACAGCCGCCGCCCCAGCCGCCGCCCCAGTCGCTCACCCTTGCCGCTCACCCGGGCGCACCGGCAACCTCCCCTGCCCACCACCGCGATGCGCGCAGATCCATCCTCCATTCGGGCTATCAGCACCCCGTCACCCGGTCATGGCAGAATCAGGGTCGCAACCTGACAAAGTCCATGTTCATGTACCCTCGTGCGTGCGCACCGCCCCGCCCGCAGTGTTCCGACGACTCGACCCCGCTGACCTCTCGGCCCGCTCGCTCCCCTCTGCCGTCGTCTCCCCTGCCCAGTCTTCATCACCGACGACGCTGATGCCGCGGTCGAGCTCCAGTCGATGCCCGGCCAGCGCAGGTGGGGCGTCAACAAGCTCGAGGCCTTCCTTGCCCCGCTCGTCGCAAAGGGCCTCTCGTCCGTCATCCTCTTTGGCGTCCCTCTCAAGACGCCAAAGGTGAGCACCCGTTCCTTCCCCTTTCTCCCAATGTCCTATCAGGGCGCATAAGCAACGACCGCTCACCTCTCTCGCGCCGTTCCTGCCCTGCCTTCGACGGCCTTGTCGCCTCCCCCATGCCATCCAGGACGCCCGCGGCACGCTGGCCGACGACCCCACTGGCCCCGTGATCGAGGCCATCAAGCTCCTCCGCCGCGTCTTCCCGAGCCTCTACATCGCCACCGACGTGTGCCTCTGCGAGTACACCGACCACGGCCACTGCGGCATCCTCCACGACGACGGCACCATCAACAACTCGCCCTCGATCGCTAGGCTCGCCGAGGTGGCCGTCAACTACGCAAAGGCGGGCGCCCACTGCGTCGCGCCCAGCGACATGATGGACGGACGGGTGGGCGCCATCAAGCAAGGCCTCGTCGATGCTGGGCTCGGCGGCAAGGTGACCCTCATGGCCTACAGCGCAAAGTTCTCGAGCGGCCTCTACGGACCCTTCCGGTGAGCGATGCCAGGCCACTCGTCGCAGGAGCCGCCGATCCCCTTTCGATATCGCCGGTGCTGACCCCCTTGTCCTCTTCCGCCCTCTTTCTCCCCCTTTCGCCAGCGACGCCGTCGACTCGGCCCCCTCGTTCGGCGACCGACGCTGCTACCAGCTCCCGCCCTCGGCGCGCGGCCTGGCGCGTCGTGCCATTGTGCGCGACGTCAACGAAGGGGCCGACATCATCATGGTCAAGCCGACGCTGCCCTACCTCGACATCCTGTCCGAGGCGCGCGACCTGGCGCCCGACCATCCGCTGGCGTGCTACCAGGTCAGCGGCGAGTTTGCCATGATCCACGCCGGCGCCCGGGCGGGCGTGTACGAGCTGCGTAGGATGGCCGAGGAGACGGCCCAGAGCATGGTGCGCGCCGGCGCCACTCTCATCCTCAGCTACTTTACGCCCGAGTTCCTCGACGTGAGTTTTTGCATGCCCCCAGCCGCCCCCCCCCCCCCCCCCCCACCGCAGCAGGGGAGAGATGGGAGGGATGTGGGTCGATGTTGGCTGACTCTTCTCGCTGCTTACTCTTGCGTCCCTGCAGTGGCTCGACGAGCCCGCCCCTCTGTAGGGCCGCATCATCCGAGACAAGGAAGAGCAGGGACGGACATAACAGGGAACTCGATTGCAAATGCGCAGGTGACTGTTCGATGACTATGCTGGGTGGCGATACGGGCTGATGATTGGGCGGGGGAGGATAACGACTATCGAGGCCGACCGGCAAGCTCGTCCCTCGCCGACTCGGGACGATCTTCAAACTGGGTGGGTATCGTGCAGAGGGGTCGTTCAGTCGGCCAGCCGGTCGCTGGTCCGCCGCGGTCGTGGTGCTGATGGGCCGGGGGCGCGCGGACCAGCTTCGCTCCGATCGGCCTGGCCCCTCGGGGCGTGGTGCGGCTCACTTGGCCTTCTCCCTTTGCGAGCCCAACGCCTGGAAGGCCGGGTAGGCGGGCAGGGGGAACTCCTCATCGCCGTCGCCGAACATCTTCTTGAACACCCACGGGCTCCAGGCGAGGACCGAGATGGCGGAGGCCATGAACCCGATGACCCGCTGGAGGATCCAGCGCTTGAGGCCGGAACCCGGGTAGGTGACGCCGGGCATGAACGAGGGGATGTCCTGGATCTTGAGCACGTAGGGCTTGAAGGCGGCCTCGTAGGCCTCAAACGCCTTGGCGGGGTGCTGGCCGGGCTCGAGGCTGGCAATCTCGCCGGCGAGGATGTAGGCGCCCATCAGGGCGAGCGAGGTGCCCATGCCCGTGAGGGGCGTGGCGGCGTGGGCCGCGTCGCCGATGCACACGACGCGCGACGTCGACCACTGCTGCATGCGCACCTGGACCAGGGGCTGGAAGAAGAAGTCGTCGGCCTTTGCCATGCCGTCGAGGAGGCGCTCGGCCTGCCACCCGGCGCCCGCGAACTCGCGGCGCAGCAGGTCCTCCTGCGCCTGGCGGTCGCCGCGCGACACCTTGGCCCACTCCGCCTTTTCCGCGTCCGTCGTCGGCATCCGCGTCATGGTGGCGCGCATCGTCCCGTGCGGGTCCGGACGCAGGCTCAAGACCTTGGAGTCGAGCGCCGTGTAGATGTACCACCAGTCGATGTCCGAGGGGACGCGCGGGATGGTCCAGTAGCAGTAGTAGGTCTCCTTGGACACGATCTCGACCGAGTCCTGCGGGAAGCACCACCGGCGCACGCGCGACCACTGGCCGTCGGCGGCGACGACAAAGTCGTACTCGCCCACGTCGCCGTTGCTCAGCTCGACCTTGGCGCAGCGCTCGTCGTTGGAGATGACCTTGGCGATGGTGACGCCGAGGAGGTACTTGACCTTGGGTAGGTCCTTTGTGGCCTCGTACAGCACGGCGCCCAGGTCGCCGCGGAGGATCTCGTGGGCCGACGTCAGGCTCGCCTCGATGCCGTCGCGCACGGGAAAGCTGGCGTAGACACGCCCCTTGGGGTCGAGGAAGTGGGTGCCCTTTTCGCTCGTGTTGAGGCGGTTGATCTCGTCGAGCAGGCCCATGTTCTTGATGACGTTGAGCGCACCCGCCTTGATGTCGATGTTCTGCCCCTGCTTGAGCAGCGAAGGGTTGCGCTCCAGGATCGTGATCTCGACGTCGTCGATCGCCTTGGCCAGGTGCCACGCCAGCGTGGGTCCCGCGATGCCGGCGCCGCTGATGAGGACTCGCATGGTGGTTGGGAGGTCAGAAGGTCGAGCCACGAAAGGGGTCTTCGAGATGGGATCAGGGTCGGGAGGCAGGGTGTCGCGTTTAGGGGATTGGAAGCGCAGGTGGTTGCTGGGGGAGGCGAGAGATGGGAAGAGATGTATGGCGAGGACGGGGGACAGACCGACCAGTCGTCGGACCAGGTTATAAGGAGATCCGCCGTCGAGACCGAAACGTAACGCACATCTCCGACCGCAGATGGGGCCAGCGGCAGCGGCAGCGGCAGCGTCGGCGTCAACGGCGGCGTCGGCGTCGGCGACGTCGAGGGGCGCTGGCAGGAGGTACACGGCTGCAACCTCTACGGGCCGCGGCCACGTTTCAGGACCGAGCGATCCGAGCCAGAGCGTAGGTGTGTGCTCGTTGGTTATCGTAGCTCGCTGGCTCGTTCAATTGTTAAAACCACGCTCAAAGAGAGATAGAGTGAGACGCGGCGTGGGCGTAGCCACCCTTGTAATGGCGGGGCATACGACAGCCCCCGCCACGCCTCTGATTGAATCGCTCCAGTGTGTCCCTGGGCGGCGGCCCTCGACCCGCCGGCCCGAGATTCTTCGGTCGAAGGCCTTTTCGATGCGTACGCTCCGAGCTTGGAACAAGATGCGGTGGCCAGCACAGGGCCGGGCCCAGGGGGCCCTGTACCCGAGCTTGGGCACGGTAGAATACGGGGGGGACGGGGCGTCGAAGCGATCGAGCTAATCGACCAAGAATGGCGTGGCGACCGGACCAGGGTCGACTCTGACGCCGGCTGCTACCCTGGCTACGGCTGTGGGTCGGGCCGAGAGCGGCGTGGGGGGAGGGGGGCCGATGTGCGACCGTGAGAAGAAGTCCATACATACGTCTGCAATGGCGGTTGTCGTTGCGACGCGGTCATCTGCAGGCGACTGAGGTGCCAGAACTCGAATGAAGCTGGGAACGCGGCGAGGCGCGGCCATTGTGAGCTCCCATTGTGGTCCATCGAGCGCAGTGGTGGGTGGACGGATGGGTGGGTGGGTTATTGGGTCCGCCCTCTCCTCCCGTCGAGGCAGATGAGCGAGGGTGACGCTTTGTGTGCCGTCGTGTAGTTACATACATACTCTTTCTTACGCTTGCCGTTTGGCAGCGTTTCCGTGTGCGTCTGTATATATGCGAGGCGGACATCGCGCCGTGCGTGCGAGCGTGTACGTACGACGAGTATGTAGCGCGGATTGTCGGAGCACCACTTCCGAGCCGATGCAAGGCGTCGGGGCGTACAGCTAAGACCGTAGTACGTGTCGCCGTAGCGGAGACAAGAGGGCAGTGGCGGCGGACGTCGGCGGTCGATGGGCTCAAGCACAGAGCAAGATCCGGACCCAACGGTTGGCTGGTGCCAGAGTGGGGGGAAGGGGACTGACGACGATACGTAACATTGCGGCCTTCGCTCGCGACATGGGCGGCTAGCGACGAGGGCGACGCAAGAGAGTACGTACGTGCGACCCTCGCCTCGCCGAGCTAGCCGGAAAGTTAGGGGAATTTGCGGGCGGCTATACGACCGAGGGTCCGAATGTCCGACGACGTACTCTTGGCTGCGTCGCCGCTTCCTGATTGACAGCTCAGGGGGGGCGGGTCGGAGCAAAGGCAAACGGAGTGCTCGAGGTCGGACCTCCGAGCGGGTGGGCAGGGGATGAGGTCGCATAGCCGACCTCGGCCCGGCCTGACCCAGACAGATCCTACTCACGCTGCTTGGCCTCGTCGACGACCAGATTCTCCTTTTCGCCTGGACTAGGAGCTGCTATCCACTTGCCCCTTTGTCGTTGTCGGGAAAGAAAGGGCGGCGACCAAGGTCAAGGTCATAATCGAGATCAAAAGCAGCGCCCGGAAGACAACTTCCGTGCGGACTCGCACCGCTAGCGCCAAACGACATATATGCCTGTCTAGCTGCTTTTGCTGACCAGCGTCGTCGACAGCGATAGAAGGCGACGATACGGTACCCACCGTACAAAGACCCAACGTCCGCGTCCGGAGGCTTGGCCCGGGCTGGCCTGGCCTGGATGCTGTCGGCGGTTTTCTGTGGCGGAGCCAAACGTCGCCCGACGGCGAGGCGATATTCTCCGCGACGCTTGCTTCCGTGTCTCTGCTCCATCTTGCTGCATTCGGTGCATCAGCAAGGTGGAGCGGAGTTTACGCTCCGGCATCCTGGGTCAGGCAGCGCTGGCCCAGGGTGGGGACCAGAGGGGGCTGCGATGAGGCGGCAGCCTGGCCATGCTCGACTGCACCGGCGGAAGTATCGTGCCGAAGCTCCGCCCCCTTACGTAAGCATGTCGGCGAGTCCAGCACCGCAGACGCGTGACGCGCCCATGGACCCCTCGGATCCGAAGCCACAGGAAAGGTGTTGGTTGAACGAGACTCTAACCCAACACTCTGCTCGCCGCAGGCTACGGCCACGGCTACGGCCACAGCCGGCAGAAGAGGCGACAGCCAGGGCCGACTGCCCCCTCTTGCCTCGTCTCGACCACCTCTTCTCCTCCCCCTCCTCGCACCCACTTCCGTCCTCTTCACCACCTTGCCTTTCCTTTCCTGGCTCTGCCTTCCCATTCCTGCACTGCCCTCCCCACCGCTCCGTCTCATACCTCCGTGTTTCTTTCTGTTCTCTTCATCCACGCACACATACGCACACACCATGGGCCTCTCGCCAACTCGCTCCAGGCACCTCGGTGGCGGCGGCGGCGGCATCGGTGGCTCAGCCGCCGGCTCCGACCTGCCGCTCGCCGACCTCTCGACCAACCTCCGGGACATGAAGCTCGGCGGCTCGCCTTCCAAGGGCGCCAAGTCGGCCGGTGCTCGACACGCCCCCCTCGGTCGCAAGGACAGGGACGATAGCGGCACCTTCAGCATCTCGGACCTCAAGACGGGCGTCACAAAGGACTGGCAGGGTCCGGACAAGCTGCTCAAGTCCAAGATGACGTCCAGCATCAGCGTGAGTGCCCGCTAGACGCTCGAACCGCTCCAATCAGCGTGAAGCATCGCTGACCCATGCACTGCCCACCCGTTCATGTGAAGACAGCGGGGCGACCGATACATCCCCAACCGCGAGCTCAACAAGTCGACTGGCCCCGGCGCTGCCTCGTTGGCCGACGAGGATGCCAACGACACCATCCGCTCGCAGTCTTCGAGCGACGGCGTCGACTCCAACATCATCGCCGCCAACATCGCCGCCGTCAACGCCATCCCCACCGACCTCGAGGGCGGCCAGACGCTCGAGCAGGCTGCGCAGGCCGAGCGCGGCCAGAGGATCCTCTCGTTCTCGGCTGCCTGCCCGGGAACTCCCGCCGGACCCGACGTGAGGAGCCGGTACGCTGTGGCCAAGCCCAAGACGGCGCTGCCGAGCAGCCTCAACAGCGCCGGACGAAGGAAGATCCCCACCAACCCGGAGCGCACCCTAGACGCGCCCAATATGGTCGACGACTACTACTACAACTTGCTCGACTGGTCCTCGACCAACATTGTCGCCATCGCGCTGCAGACGGGCGTGTGGCTGTGGAACGGCAACACGGGTGATGCCTCGCAGCTGCTCGACACGACGACCCAGTCGGAGCGCGTGGGCGGTAACGGCCTCATTACGGGCCTCCGGTGGGACGCCGACGGCAACATCCTCTCCGTTGGCCTTGAGGGCGGCTACACGCAGATCTGGGACGTCGAGAGCTCCTCGCGGCTGCGCACGCTCAAGCCGAGCGCCGAGGGAGGCGCCGACAATGCGGCGGTCAACGTCATGGCGTGGGCGCCAGACGGTACGCTCAACGCCGGCTTCCAGTCGGGCATCATCAAGGAATTCGACGTTCGCGAGCGCGACGCCCTGACGCGCACGCTGGAAAAGGCGCACTCGGGTCCCGTGTGCGGCATGGAGTGGCGCGCCGACAGCGCGCTGCTGGCGACGGGCGGCAACGACAACGTGGTCAAGGTGTGGGACCGGCGCACGTCGGTGCCCAAGATGCGCAAGGAGAACCACCAGGCGGCGGTCAAGGCGCTTGCGTGGTGCCCGCACAACCTGAGCATGCTGGCGACGGGAGGCGGCACGAGCGACCGCAAGATCCACGTGTGGAACACAACGCAGAACTCGCGCACGCTGTCGATCCAGACGAGCGGGCAGATTACGTCGCTCAAATGGTCGCAGCACTACCGGGAGCTGGTCTCGACGCACGGCATCGGCACCCACGAGAGCGCCAAGGGCATGATCAACATCTGGTCGCACCCGTCGGGCCAGAAGGTGGCCGAGATTGAGGCGCACGAGCAGCGCGTGCTCCACGCCAGCCTGAGCCCGGACGGCGAGGTGCTGGCGACGGTGAGCGACGACGAGGAGCTCAAGCTGTGGCGCGTATTCGAGAAGCCCGTCGAGGTGGGCAAGGCCGGCAAGACACCCGGCGCGCTCGGCGCAAAGAGCGGAAACATGTCGAGCGTGCGCACCCTCCGCTGAGCATCGTCCGCAGCCGGCCGTCGCCGCTGCCGCCGCGCAAGCCCCGGTGATAGGATCTTGGTTCGTCAGCGCGCAAGAGGATGGTCGACCGTTTCCGAGCTCGTCCGTCGATTGAGACGACGGCGGCTGTCCCTCGCATCCCCTGGTCGTCATGGCCCCGCCTGCGCCCCCTCGTTTCTCATTTGCGCCTCCAGCATGGGCCGGTACACCTAGGTCCCCCAGCGCTTCTCCTTGACCGCGTCTATTGTATTTATATATGAGCATCTATCCCTTTCCTTTGTACGCCGCCATGAACAGTAGTTTGATTATAGCATCGTTTGCTTGCGACCAGATCGAGGGGCGATCGTAGTGGGCCACGCCTGCCAGTGGCCTGCCTGGCTGCCTGTGCGCGGGCCCGGTCAATTTACGCGACGCGTCCCAAAAACCTCAGGCGGGCCCGCGGAGAGGGTAGGGCTGGCCAGGCAGTTGGCCAGAGGCCTGGCACTTTACGCGCTCGCCATTTCTCGGTAGCTCGGACTTGGAGGCGCAGGCGGGTGGGTGTGTGCTAGAGAGGGAGAGGGACCGATCCGGGCGCGCGCGCACGCAGCACAGAGACGATGAGGGCCCGAGGAGGGCCAAGCAGGACCAACACCTCGTCCCCGCCCCTCGTTCCCTGCATCCTCCCTCCCTCACCTTGTCGCCCATCCTTCCCGTCCTACCTCTGCCCCTACCTCTGCCCCTTCCTATCCCTCACTCTGCCACCCTTTGTACAGATCATCGTCTGGTCTGGCCTGCTTCTGCCACCTTCCTCGCTCCGACTCCTGATCGGCGGTCCTTGCAAGACGATAACCGACCACCCGGCCTAGCTCGCCCGCCATGTCAACGCCCGGCCCGCACTCGGACGCCGATATGCAGGATGTTGAGCGGCGCAACCCGCTCACGCCCGGCGCTCGCTCCAACCGCGACCTCGCAAACAGCTCCTCGCCCCTCGCCTTCCCTTCTAGCAGCCCCGCAAAGAGCCAGGCCTCGGGCGCCCGCAGGCTTCAGCCCGGCGGCACTCCTTCCTCCCGCATCGGTACGTTGCCACTCCGGATTGCGACGGGCTGTCACTCACCATCTCGGCCACGCATGCTGATTGTGTCGACCTCTTTCCAATTCTCGACTCTCTCCCCCCTTGCTAGGCGGGTCATCTCCTCTGCATTTTCCCACGTCTTCCCCCTCGAGGACGCCGCGCGGACAGCGCACCCCTCTGGCCTCTGCCAGGCGATCTGCAAACGCCGAGAACCTTCGCATGCCGTCCAGCAGCGCATCCAGCCGGCTCGATGAGCCACTCTTCTTCCCTAGGTGAGCTTCCCCTCCAAGGGTCGATGTTGGCATGTGCGGACGATGCTGACCGGACACCGCTGCGTCGCTGTGACAGCTCCGGAGGCACGACCCCGAGACATCGCCGTGGAGAGATCCACTCTTCGGTCCCCCTGTCTTCCCCCTCGATTGTCCGTCGATCCCGCATGGCAGCCGCAGCCGGCTCCGATGCTCCTGGCTCGGCGATCGGCAGCAGCCATCCCTTCAGCGATGCCCCGAGCGACGCCATCAGCCTCTCGCAGCAGGCGCCCACGAGCGACGCCGGCGCCGCGGGCGGTCAGGAAGCCGTGTCCAAGGTCATCTGGGGCACCAATGTCTCGATTGGCGAGACGATGCAGCTCTTCCGCTCGTTCCTGCGCGGCTTCCGCCTCAAGTACCGGTGGGCCCACGCCAAGAAGCTCGGCCTCGAGGTGCCCGGCTCGCTCGGTCCGGGCCTCCAGGACGGAGAGCACCTGGTCTACGACGGCTACCTGCGCAGAATGAGGCAGACCGACCAGACCAACCTCAACCTCCGCATCTCGGACCTCGAGGCCTTTGGCCCGTCAAAGAGGCTCAAGCTGCAGCTGATCCGGTACCCGCAGGAGATGGTCCCCATCATGGACCAGGTGCTCAAAGACGAGATGCTTGAGATGGCCTATGACGACCACAAGCACGGCCGCGACGGCATGGGCGGCGACCTCGGCCTCGCCGAGATCGAGATCATGGAGTCGAAGCTCTACAAAGTGCGGCCGTTTGGCGCCGAGGCCACCAACATGCGCGACCTCAATCCGGCCGACATCGACAAGCTGGTGACGGTGCGCGGCCTCGTCATCCGGGCCACGCCCATCATCCCCGAGATGAAGCAGGCCTTCTTCCGCTGCCTCATCTGCCACCACACGGTGCCCGTCGAGATCGATCGGGGCCGCATTGCCGAGCCGGACCGATGCCCGCGCGAGGTGTGCAACCAGCAGGGTTCCATGTCGCTCATCCACAACCGCTGCGAGTTCGCCGACCGCCAGGTGGTCCGCATCCAGGAGACGCCCGACGTGGTCCCAGACGGCCAGACGCCCCACACAGTCAGCATGTGTGCTTACGACGAGCTGGTCGACGTCAGCAAGCCCGGTGACCGCGTCGAGATCACCGGCATCTTCCGCAGCACGCCCGTCCGAGTCAACCCGCGCCAGCGCAGCCTCAAGAGCCTCTACAAGACCTTCGTCGACATCCTCCACATCAAGCGCAGCAGCGGCAAGCGCCTCGGCGTCGACCTCTCGACGCGTGACGAGTCCGAGCAGGCCGAAGGACGCGGCGCCCAGGCCGTGGGCGTGGGAGGCGAGGACGACGATGAGGACGTCGATCTCCGCAGCGGGTTCGCCGCCGCACTCGAGGGCGAGGCGTCGCCCAGCCAGGACCTCGAGCAGCGGCTGCGGGGCATCGCCGACCGTCCGGACGTCTACGAGGTCCTCGCGCGCAGCCTGGCGCCCAGCATCTACGAGATGGACGACGTCAAGAAGGGCATCCTGCTGCAGCTCTTTGGCGGCACCAACAAGAGCATCAGCACGGGAGGCGGCGCGGGTGGCCCGCGCTACCGCGGCGACATCAACGTCCTGATGGTCGGAGACCCGGGCACGTCCAAGTCGCAGATCCTGCAGTACGTGCACAAGATTGCGCCGCGCGGCGTCTACGCCTCGGGCAAGGGCTCGTCGGCCGTCGGTCTGACGGCGTACGTCACGCGCGACCCGGACACCAAGCAGCTGGTGCTCGAGAGCGGTGCGCTGGTGCTGTCCGACGGCGGCGTTTGCTGCATCGACGAGTTTGACAAGATGTCGGACGCCACGCGCAGCGTGCTGCACGAGGTCATGGAGCAGCAGACGGTCTCGATCGCCAAGGCGGGCATCATCACGACGCTCAACGCGCGGACCTCGATTCTGGCGGCGGCCAACCCGGTAGGGTCCAAGTATAACGTCAACCTGCCCATCACGCGCAACATTGACCTTCCGCCGACGCTCATCTCGCGTTTCGACCTGGTCTACCTCGTCCTCGACAAGATCGACGAGGCCAACGACCGACGGCTGGCGCGCCACCTGGTCGGCCTCTACCTCGAGGACAAGCCGCAGACGGGCGGCAGCGAGATCCTGCCCATCGAGACGCTGACGTCGTACATTTCCTACGCGCGCAACCGCATCTCGCCGGTGCTGACCAAGGAGGCGGGCGACGCGCTGGCCGCACGCTACGTCGAGCTGCGCAAGGTCGGCGAAGACCCGCGCAGCTCGGAGCGCCGCATCACGGCCACCACACGTCAGCTCGAGAGCATGATCCGGCTCTCGGAGGCGCACGCCCGCATGCGCTTCTCGGACGAGGTCGTGGTCGACGACGTCGAAGAGGCGGCCCGGCTGATCCGCGAGGCGGCCAAGTCGTCTGCGACGGACCCGACGACGGGCCTCATCGACCTCGATCTGATCAACACGGGCCGCTCGCACCACCAGCGCAAGATCGAGGGCGACCTGCGGCGCGAATTCCTCCAGCTCCTCGACCAGCTCGGCGGCGGCGGCGCCCCGCGC